GAATCCTCAGTTTTGCTTACAACAAGAACATAGAAAAGGATAACTTGCTGCTCATCAAGATTTTCAAGAAATGTGATAAAAAGGTACCTTCAAAATATCTGGGGTTGTAATTCCAGAGTCAATCAACTGACCCTTGAGAGCATCAAACTTCTCAGGGGTCAATTTGTTCAGTATACTGCACAATAAGTGGAACAGCAGTCATGATAATTCTATAAAGCAATCAATGCAGGCAATTTTCTGAAAGACACTGCAAACAATCCTTCTCCACAAAGGAGCTTTCCAATAGACAATCCTTATTATACATCATCACCAGAATTTTTTTGGGAAAATGTATCATATGTATCATACGAACTGTGACGTAATATATCGGGGGAGCAATTACCCTTTAACAGTCTTCAGAACACGTTCCTTGTCAGAGAGATTTCCCCTTCGAGCTGACCATGGAACTTCAGCCTTAATTAGAGCTGGAGCAGGTCCCACCTGGTTTCCATAGAAGATTGGAACTATGTCATATAGAAGCCAAGAATGCATGCTAAGAGACTATGAACAAAACTAAGGTTCTTTTCAGTAACTTTTGAAACATGATCACCTTTTAATCTTTAACAGATAACATCAAAGCAATTACAACCCACACCACCCATCTACTATACTTGATCACTTGTACCATTAACAGAAAGAATTCAACCAACATTTTATATGCTCCCCGTCCCTCAGCTTCTCATCAACAGAAAAATAAGTGTTCCCCATCCCTCAAAAGAGAAATGAGTGTATTTTTAAACTACATTTTTTCTGTGATTATGAAACTGAACCTCCTACTCATCACTAACAGCATCATAATCAATTCATATCAAGTTCAAATTTCATCAAACCAACAAAACTAAAAATTTCTACAGTTATAAAAAATTTGAAGAGATTGTAAGATTTATTTTAAGACATCTGCTAAGAATATGTTACCCCTTGGTTAGAATTGATTTGAGCCCTTGCAAACTGAAAATTTAGTTGGTCCTCACGAGCACTGAATTCTTGCGGCTTCGACTCAAATCGACTGGAATCCTTCTCTTCTCCAGCAGATCTAGTACGCCAATCACGGTTGACAGTCTCGGAATAACGACTTTAGCACTGAGGTTGCAGCTAAATAATAGATAAATAAATAAAATTTCTAGACAGCCATAAAGTTACAGAGAATAATTATTAGAGAGAAGTATCGAATCCTTGAAAAAAGGAACACACAGAACAGGTTGAAACCACAAAGTATCATGTTCACAACAAATAATTTTGTACCAACTGATAAAAGCATTATTATTCCCAATTAAAAGTACTATTAGGAATACAATAATACTAACCTAACAAATCTCTCTCAGTAACTCTTCTCACTAATCTCATGTGGGAGTTTATAATTAACTTGATCAAATGAGACCTATTATTAGACAGACGAGACTAGCAGTCCCTAACATCATAATAGTCATAACTTCAATGTTCAGTTTCGTTTCAAAAAGGCAGGTGAAAATTACAAAATTTAACTCATCTATCTAAATTTGATGACCCAAAACAGGCTCTCAAATAAACCTTAAGCAAGTCAATAACTGTGAATCATAAATTGGACATCCAATGACTCACCTAAGGTTTCAAACTCCAGTTCATTTGTTTTCTCAGAAGCCCAGCGGTTGCTTAAGGCATTTTATTTGATCAAATAAAATTGAAACAGCTGAGATCACAACCTTAACATTGAAACAAATAAAGCAACGATCCAGAAAAGTAGCAATTAAAGAACTAGAAAACATTACAACAATTTTTAATCAAAAACTCAAGTTGAAGCCCATAAGATAGTAAGAAACTTAAAACGGTACTCACTTACATGCACAAATGAGATGTCAGTACAGAACAGAAACAATCAGACAAACAAAAACTTGGGGATAAAACCAAGAAACAAATAATTCCCAATGTTATGCCTAGAAAAGTAGGGTTGATGCATAACTCTATTAGCGTAAGTGGTCAGAGCTTAGATAAGTCTAGCAACCATTTATACGCAGTCACGTCGCACCCTGACGCAAACAGCATGCTTCTGCCAGTACAGTAGGTGTGCGTCAGGCTAGTGAAAGGCTGGAGGCGATCCATGTGTCTAATCCCTGCAAGAGTCGAGTAAATCACTAGAGCAGGTGAATAACGGGACGCAAGGAATGATTTGTACGGCAATCTGACCCACTCCCTGATTTAGTAATCATTACCTCAGTTCATCCCACTATAAATAGAGGGTTCCTCTCCCGTTTGTGAGATTGGCTAATTTCTCTCTAGAATAGCATATATACTCTCTTTCTCTCTCTCTTATAATCTCTTGTAAATTAGCTCGCTGAACGCGACTTGATCTTATATATTAATACGATACCAGTAAACGTAGGATTTGCTTATTTAAGCATCCGAACCACTTTAAAGACTGTTCTTCATTTTCTATTCAATTCAATACCCCCATACACGTGTGTCATCTGAGTCAACTCAACATTTCCCACGTGTGTTTAGTTGGTATCAAAATCATGCATCAGCACCCAAAACTAACAAACACCCAGAAGAAAGAATTTTCTAGGAATCTGATAAGAAGAAAAAAAAGATATTTCGATGACCAGAGCAAGGATAATTTGAAGAAAGAGTAGAGGAGGAAAAATAACCCGTCTAGCCCGACTCGGCCCGCGGTGGGTTATGGAAATTGGCGGGCTGCGTTAGGCCCGCCTCTTGGCCAAAAAAGCTGGCCCAACCTAGGTAAAAAATCTGAAATTTTTATAATTGTATGTATTACTAATGGACTAGTAAGATAATACACGCCAGAAAGTTGTAAAGTGGATTGGTAAAAAATTTTAAGAAAAAAATGAAATTTTTTAGCTATATGCCAATCATTTTCTACCAAATAATGAGGACCTATATTATTTGCTACAAAATAACTAATTAAATTTGCATAAGGTAAACATGAATCACACATTAAATAAGTACTATTTCATCTAATAGGCATGTCTAATGCAAAAGTTATAGGAGACATATTTGATTTTATACAAGCATCTTGAAATTAAGCATTTCTTCTATTACTACTAGTAATCCAAGCTAAAGAATCCCTAATTCTATCAATATTATTTTTAATTTTTTTCATACCACTTTTCATAATTAAATTAATAATGTAACATGCACATCGTTAGTGAAAAAACTTCAAATTGTCATAAAAAAGAAAATTAATTTTAAAAAAATCTATAACTCTACTATTAGCACTTGCATTATCTAAAGTTAAACTTATCACTTTATGAACAACATCATAATCATCTAAAACTTCAACAATTTTATTATAATTTGTTGACCATCATGATCTACATCCATTAATCTAAATCCCAATAAAGATTTATTTAATTTACACTCGTTATCAAAATCATAACTAGTCACACAAATATAATCTTGTTTAGCTCTACTACTCCAAATATCGGCAGTTAGAGCCCACTAACATGACAACTATGTATTTTATTTTTTAATTCTAATTTCATTTTCCCAAACAATTTTATTAAATTATTTCTAGTTGCAATTTTAGAATAACTTTTAAGTCCCGGAAAAAATGAATTTTTAATAAATCTTTCAAAATATTTATCTTCAACTATATTAATAGGTTGATCAGTTGCAGCAATATATAAAGCTAATTGTTTCCTATATATATTAGAATTATAACGCCAAGTAGTACCCACATTATCTATTTGAGTTTGATTGGTTTCTCTATTTTCATGTTGAGTAATATGTTTATTAACATGCATTTTTAAAGTACTAGTACCATTACCTGCATCAGCTTTATAAATATTTCCACAATACTTGCATCTTGTTTTCTTCACTTGAACTTCATTTTATGTTTCGTAAAACTTATCAAAACGCACCCAAACATCTGATGTGTGTCTGTTGTCGGTTTTGACAACAGTTGATAAACTCGCTTCTGCTTGAGATGAAGTTGGAAGAGAACGACGATTACGAGGACGACTTTTAGAACCACCGAAAGCTGTAGCAGCATGGGGAGGAAGGGGTCTTATATTATGAGGTGTATCAGATTCTGAGAATGGGCAAGCGGGACTATTTGAATCTACTGCATTTATGTTAGTAAATTCAGGAGGATTAGGATAGTTTCATTCATCATTGAAATTGATGGGATGCATATATCTATCCATTGTAGTTTAAAAAAAAAAAAAATTGGATATAGAAGAAATAAAAATTAAAGAAGGAGAATTAGAATTTGAAAATATGAATTGAAAATTACAAAAACTAATAAAAATTAAATGAGAGCAAATTGACAACAAAGAGAATAATTGAGAGATTTCAAAGAAATTAGAGAAAATGAGATAATTTGGGATGTGAGAAAATATGAGAGTTTAGGCTCTATTTATAGAAAAAAAAAAAGACGAAAAAGACCCTTCCAACTGTTATAAAGTGGCTATATTTCAAGGGTAAAATAGGTGTTTGTAAAAAAAAAAAAAAAAATATATATATATATATATATATAAATTTTTTTTTATCCAACCCGTGGGTTGGCCATTGGGCTTGCAATGGCCAACCTGTCGGGTTGGAGAGTTTTTTTTTTTTTTTTTGTCAAATATAACTCGCCGAGTTGTTGGGTTGACCTATGAAAGCCCGACCCGCCCGATCGAGTATATCCGGGTCGGGTTGAACTCAACTTGCCTTTTAGCCGATCTAGGTTAAACCTGACTTGATGCGAGCCGAGTTAGGATTGACCTACTCAACCCGGTCCATATTTTCCATCTCTTCTAGAGAGTACATAAAAAGAAAGTTCAAGAGAGAGAAACAAGGACTTTTTAAGACAAAAGCAGGAGACCAATGATGACCTTTTTTTTTCCCGGTAAAACCGGCAATTTATACAATACAGAACAGGGGATTAAACCCCTACAATAGCCGATCACTTTGGATAGGCCCAAGGAGAACGGCACCCAAAGGCCACAAAAAAAACACAGATCCAAAGGCCTAAAAAAAAAAAAAAAAAATCAAGGGAACAAAAGCCTAAACAATGACATGTACAAAAGGAACAGCCCAACTAACAAAAAACACAGCTATCCCACAAAAAAACAAAAACAGGCCTAATCCAGAACCAAACAAAATAGCCCATATCAAAATTCACCAGCTACGCCCAAGCAGAGAAGGCCTCCCAGACCTCTCCAACATTCCGTCACTGTCCACAGGAAGTCCCATACAGTCTGCACCAGCAAACAGAAGCAAGGCAGGCAGATAATCTCATACCAAATATTCTTCACCATAAGCATTTCTCACATGATAGGCTCCTTGACAACTTCCCGTATTGCCACACTTTTTGAAGGTAACTGAGCCTATAGTCATAGTGTAATACAACACTTACAACCTAATCTCACAACTTTAATATGATAGTTCACAATTGATTAGTTCGTAATAGGTCTCGCCTACCTAACAATGAATTGACTAATTACAAGTTGTTATGTCGGGTTGAAAGAGAAAGTTTTTAAAATGAGGTTGTGAGTTAATCTTTATTGATAATCATAAAGCAAATAAAAGGACCATAAGAGGCATACTTACAAAAGTGGTCATAGGCATACAGAAGACACTCAACAAGAACCCAAATTTTAGAAATGCAGAATCTAGCTTGGGGACAACGCCAGAAGACATCCTGCCCCTGCCAGCAATCATGAATTGCTACCTTACTCCAGAAGGTATACTGGACGTCTGGATCCAAAGAAAAATATTCTCCCAATTGGACAAATACCTGCAGCACCCACCATAGTCCAAAGGAACAACTTTAGTACTCCTGTTGTAAGCTTTCTGAACCCCTCTCCAACTAATCCCCTTAAAAATGCTGTACTTAGGGAGACTCCCAGGAGGCTTTGTCATGTAGCTACCCAACCAGCCACAAACCCAAATGAGCTTAAAAACAACTCTCATTCATTATAAAAACCACAATTACCAGAAAACCAGCATCATTAGACACGGATTCAGGCATACAGCTTATAGGCAGGTCCCATTCTGCTATCACTTTACGAGCCCTGGCAGTATCTTTGAATCTTAGGGTGTACAACCTAAGCTTCACATCATCAACAATTTGCTTAGCCATAGTGTCCAGACTCCTTCTTTTGCCTTTAAATAATCTAAGATTACGCTATTGCCAAAATCCAAATGTAGTACACAACAGCCCCAAGCCATAACCGACCAACTGTAGTCCAGCTATTTTTTCCTTTAAAGCTGCGAGCACACCACAGAACAATAGAATCCCAGTTATCCCAAGGGGCCCTAAATCTGCCTTTACGCTGAACTGTTTTCCAGAGAGTCTGGGTAAACGGAGGGCTAAAAAACAGATGAGCATGAGAATCTGGAGGCCCATCACAAAAGGCACATTTCAAGTCTACCGAAACCATCCATGTACTCATTCTGTCCTGAGTTAACAATTTGTGCTTTTATGGCCAGCCATAAGATAAAAGAATGCCGAGGAATGCATGTGCCAGTCAAAACAAGGGAGCTCCAAGGGACCAAGTTACAAACTGGTGACAAATCCTGCCAGGCTTGTTTAGAAGTGAAGTTAACCTTGCTGCCTTCGCTAGTTTTCCAGTAGATTGTATCCTGGGTATTGAACATTGGCACGGGAGGGGCATGTCTCACAAAATGAGGGAAAACTCTTGGATTTCCCGAGGCCAAACCCACCGGCGAGAGACAATAATATCACTAACCTTCATCTTGTGGTCTACCCTGGAAGTAAAAAAAGAAGTTGTAGTCAAAGAGAAGGCTAAAGGACCAAGAGGATGCCAGGAGTCATACCATAAGGAGGTAGTTTATCCATTTCCGAGCGTGACTCCGAAATGCTGTCTTACTTAATCCCTTAGCTTGAGAAGTTTTCTCCAGCAGCAGCTCGCATCCCATGGAATTTTCACATTCCAAAAGCTGCAATTCTTGAGACGAAACGTATGAACCTATTTCACCCATAAAGAGTCTATGTGGGAAACTATACTCCAAACCATCAGAGTGCAGTTCCAGAGGGTTAGGGGTCTTATACCCAATCCGCAAGCTGCCTTATGAATAGTGACTTCACTCCACGCCACCTTAACCCGCCCTTTCACGAGGTAATTACCAGCTCAAAGGAAGGCTCTCACCTTTTGTTCCATAGCCTTCGTAATAGCTTTTGGGGAGAACGAAAACCGAAGCCCAGTAAACTTGCATAGAAGTGAGGACGGAAAGAACCAGTTGGAGACATCCTGCATAGGAAAGGCAACGTTTTTTCCAAGCGTTAAGACTTTTGTCGATTTTGTCCAAGAGAGACATACAGTTGGTATAACGGAGTCTGAGGTGACTACAGGAACCCCAAGGTACCTAACTGGCAGCTGGCCATCCTGAAAACCTATTTTCACAGGTTTTTTTACTCTAATCATCTCTGTAGCAGACAGTATAACTTTCTCCTTTCTCTCTCTATGCAAAGGAAGAAAATATTATACACAAACCTTGTGGCCAAATTTCACGTGGTCATAGTATTTACATAAGAATAACAGTCATAGAAAGGTCAAAACTCTTGTTCACATCCTTCCATTCTAGCCATTGACAAACATGTCTATGTCACTAATCCTCAATAAGATCTTCTTGTTTCTTTATTTTCTATTGGTAGTCTTCTATTTTTGATGTTTCAAACGTCTAGATCTTGGTGCGTTCGGTAAAGGATAATATTTATTAACAGTTTATCTAAAATTGTATCAGAAAAAGGCAAAAAACCTGTTTTGCAGCTAGAGCAATTGCATTGAATACAAGAAGCTAATTCAAGTGAATAAAATTTGAAGCAAAAGTTAATATTAGTAAATAATATTGACTCTGATATTGTGCTTTGAACTGGCATCTACTTAGGCCAACACATTTGATTCTTCCCCTATTGCCCCAGCCAAAAATTTGTGAATTTTCCATCTACCTCTATTAAACTGCACCCAGCAGTTTTAATAATGCCCGTATCATTCCATGTATCTCCATCTGTTTGCTTCTTCCCATTGATTGCAGGATGCATATAAGTTAGCAAACATCATAAGCTCCCCGTCGCTCAAGTATTGAGCCCTGGAAGAAATCAGCCTTACTACTTTATCTCCGGTCTAAGATCCTGATGAATCACACAAGCACTAAGCAAGACACCCAAGATGGATTCTGTTGGCTCAAATGGCATAGCTTCAATCAGTTGCATTGCACAGTCAAGAAACCCGGCACGTCCCAGAAGATCAACCATACAACCGTAATGCTCTAACTTAGGTGTAATTCCAAACTCCTTTTCCATACAGCTGAACAGTTCACAACCCTCTTGCACAAGCCCACATGGCTACAAGCACTAAGCAGGCCAATGAAGGTAATATCAAACCTTTATACAACCATCTTTCATTAAGCCAAGAGTTTGAGCGCAGCATGCCCATAACCATGAAGAGCTAGCCCGGAGATCATGGCATTCCAACAGTATATATCCTTAACTTGGGACTTATAGAACACCTCTAAAGCGTGTGTATGCTACCACCTTGGCATACATATCTATTAATGCTGTTGCAACATGGGGGCTGAATGCAAGCCCATTTCTTTAGCATATATATGTATTCTTGCGCCGGTTTCCAGAGATCCGAGATGGGCACATGCAGATAGAACACTAGTCACGGTAAGATAATCAGGTTTGCAGTTTCCAGCTTCCATTTCATCAAACAAAGCAACTACTTCAGAGTAGATTTGGCAATGTAAATACCCGTGATTATCGTGTTCCATGAAATGACATTTTAACTGGCATTTGCTTAAACATTTCACAAGCTTCTCCATTTCTTTAGCATTAGTAAAGCCAATATCATTGAGTTCCATGAAACAACATCTTTAACAGGCATCATACGAATACATTCTTGCAGAATGCATCCTCCCCATCCTTGCGAACCCAGAGATCATGATATTGAAGATGCAAGTCTTTGAAGGCATTGAATCAAACAATTTCATAGCAGAATCCATCTGCCCACAAGAAGCAAACGCACTAACATTGAGTTCCATGCAACAATATCTTTCTCAGGCATCCTATCAAACACTTTATAAGCATCATCAATACATCTAAACTCATACGTTTCCAACAGAGCGTTTGCACAAAGCATGGCCACAAAAACCAGTTTAATAGTTGGCCATGAAGCATAACCAACAGAAGAACTAAAAGACTGCGCATGCTTTCAATAAAACTGGAAAAGAATAGTTATCGGCATGTATTCAAGTTCTTGCATATTTATATAGTCAGAATAGCTTGTTCTGCCACTTCCTTGAGTAATTTATTCTTAATAAGCTTATTCCAGTAACTCAAATCAGATGAGGTTGACTTACAGAATGTGTAGCAGGCTAAGAGAGCATTTCAAAACACAAATCAAGAAGCAAAACAGTTCAGATTATGCGAGATGTACTAAAAATTAAGTATAAAAGCCATCAAAATCCTGAGAGGATAAGGTGATAGTGATATGTGATAGATAACTCAAAGAAGCAAAGACAAAGTTCATTATCCAATTGGGCTCTTCCATAGTGGCCAGGTGAGAGAAACCTCTCTCTCAAAGTGTTTGAAACTTTAAAATTTCTAAATTCAACACTCTGTCGAAACAAAAGAAGTAATACCTATTTATAATACAAACGATCGGATTTCAAATATATTTGAATCCGTTACATTATTACATTACAGAGAAAAGATAAAATTGTTGATAAGTGATAAGCTATCTTGGATACGTGTCTTGAATTATTGAGGACCTGCTCTGAGAATGGCAGACAAACTGATAAGGCTTACTAAAATTTGCTTGTTGTCACGGGAGCTGACAATTGTAAACTTTGGGAAATGATAAGTCTGACAGATGTTTAATGTTGGAAGAGATAAATTTGACAAATAAGTACAAGTCTTGAAGTCTTGATATTTTGCAGAGATGCTTCCTACAGTGTGTAAAGTCAGTTGGAGAAAAATCTTGACAGTGCCGAAACTTTTGAATCTTGAGATTTGAAACATTGCAGAAGCCACGTGAAAGGATTATTGAAGAACATTTATTGCTGCAGGAAGGTGATGCAATCAGTGATAAAAGTCTTATTGAAACTCTTCTTGACAGTGTTGTAGAGAAGAGGAAAAATCTTGAGGATTCGCCGAAAGTGTTGAAAAAAATATTCTGAAGCATAACCTTTATTGAATTCATAATTGATCTGGTTTGGAACAGACAAAATAGTCATCCTCATCTTGATCGTCGGTGATTTGGTGCTGTCCGGTCTGCTTTTTGCGATGTTGAAGATCCAATGGCCATAATAATTTTGTCCATATCTTGAGGGTTTTGACATTGAGCAACTCAGCAAGAAGTCTTGATTTTTGCATCAAAAATGTGGATGTTGTTGAGGCGACATAAAGGGGTGTTGAGAGATCACATCTGCACAGCTGGTGGGACTAATATTTTGGATGGAAAAACTAGGCCACCATTTAATAAGAAATTTTCTTTGTAATTCTCGAAATTTGGAGGAGGAGGAATAGTGATGTGAAACTGCCAACTATTATCCAGCAATTAAAAATTGCTGGAAAAAGCTAGCAAAGAGTCTTCAATGGTGTTGAAAGTTTTTGTAAACAAGTGATATCCTTCCAAACCAAAGTGGAAGATTTTTTCATTTAAACCGAAAAAATTAACCATTGTTGAAACCATTTTGGAAACGTTTTGGACAAGTTTTGTCAAAAATAAAAAATCAGCAGGAGTGTTTGTATGAGTTAAACAGAAAGTATGAAACCAAGCTTTGATAATCTTTATAAGAAAATTCTTGGGGAATGAAGGATTGAGAAAAGGGCGTTTTTCATAAATTCCAGTACGCCAGTCTGCAGGTCTCAAAACCTTTTTAATTTTGCATTTTGAAAAAGTATTCTATTGGGATCATTTTTATCAGGATATGGGTAATCTCTATGAATCAGTATCAAATAAAATAAATTCGTAAAATGTTCTTGTTTTAATAAAATCATCAGGAATAAAATAAAAATCTGGAGGAAATTTTTTGATAAAGTTTTTGCATAGTTTGTCCCCAGAAATTCGGGTTCAATAATGCAAATTGATTGACATAAATCTTCTCAATGTATTGAAAAGTGGGGAGATGTTGACAGGTTTTGATGGAGAAGGTGTATAGGTTGGTGGGTATTGTAAGGCTTGTTGGTAATTCCTTGGTGGAGATGAAGAAACAGATTCTTCATCAAGAAGAGTAAAACGATTTGGTTGGGTGATAATGTTTTCTGTTTATTGGGTTTTGAGGATCTTGATTGTGAAGGTTTTGTTTGTGGGGTAATAGTGTGTGAGGTGGTAGCATCGCATACGATGCTTGATTTTGGATTGTTTTTGGGTTTGATGGGAGTGCCCATCTTTCCTCACTTTCACTCTTTCCTAATAAATCTGTGTCCTGAGAGTTGTGTGATGAGAGAGACTATTAGAAGAAAAACTTTTGATTTTTGCATTCTACGAAATATAATTTTGAAACCTTGAAATCTTAATGCAAAAAGTTGAAAACAAGTTTTTGTATGCAAGCATCCAAAATTTTGTGGTAATCGAGCCATTTTGGTAGGAACAATTTCTAGACTCTTTAATTTGGTAATAGTGTTCATCTTAGAGATTGAAAGTTTTAACTTACTAATATCTTTTATTAATGGTGGATTGACGAATTCAAATGTAACATTTTGTCTTAAAATATTGGTTGTAATTCCTTTATTGGTTACTAAAAGGGTAAATTTGAGTGATAAAATCTGTACTAATATAACGTCTTGATCTAAATCTTTTACTAAAATAAATGTAACTTTTAATACAAAAATTTTGTATACAAAAATGAGCATTAGATAATTATAATTAATGTTTAATTGTTGACATTTGCTCCCTATAATCTCTCTTTTGTTTTTTCATAATATTGGTTGGAATTAATCCTTTCTTATACAGTTTTGATCTGCCTCAGTGTTACAAAGCTTGTGTATAATATCTAATTCAGATTAATATTGATCCTAATGTAAACAGTCATTTTTGAAATTGAATTCTAGAAATTTCATTAATAAAAGCTTCTTCAGTTTCTTTAATCGTAATCTGATTGTGAGTTGATGATTGTCCTACAGTTTCTTTGGAGACTTTTAAACATAATAAATCTGTCTGATTTCAATATTATCATTTTGTAATTCTTTAACTGATTTTTCAGAATATTGATTTCTTTTATAAATCACTTAAAGTACTTGTGTGGGTTGTCAAATCTTTTAATATGTCTTTAAGTTATAAGAATCTACATCTTTTGTTTTCCTTCTGATAAAATTAATTCTTTAAGTTTTAATAAATATTCTCTTTTTAGTCTTCATCCTGAATTTTGTCAATAATATCTAATAAAATTCTTTTGATTTGGTGATAACATTTATTGACTTAGGTTAGATGTTGATATCATATTTATGTGTTTCATTG